TATACATAAATACATATATATGATGTATATATATATATATATTTATATTTGTTTACATTTTTATTTTTGTTAAATATTTTATATATATATAATGTATATGTATACATATATATAATGTATATATATGTATTTGTTTTACATTTTTTATTTTGTTTTTTTATATTTAAAAAAAACTCTCAGTCGTACGACGCATTAAGTGCCTTGCTTTAGTTATGTTTATCATATTGACTTTGGATTAATACGTCAGCTGCACAGAGGATCGTCTTCTGTTGTTTTAATAGATTTTTGTTGGTTGGATCAGTGTAAAGTGAACTTCCATTTGTTTCACTCCCGCTTTAATGTTCTCCTTAGGCCCGTGTTGTTATAATCTACTTACGAATGACATTCAGAATGATTTATATCATAATTCATTGGAGTAAAACTATCATCGATTTTGCAACCCAGGAAAAAATGTTTCTACAACACTCAAAGGTGATGATCACTACCGTGTGACGTTCTCTTCTTAGTGCTATCAGCTGGGTTTTTGCTGACGAGCGTTAACTTGCGGTGCAAGACTTTAGCGTTTTTACAGCAGTTGGACGTATACTAAAAAGCTTTTTCAATTGTGACATAACTGGATTTCCACTTATTTTTTGTACACGGTTGAAAAACTAATGAGTTATTTGATCAAATTAATTTACCGTATTTATTCTAATAAACGCTCCGCTTTGAATATACGCCCCCTCAAATGAACGCCTTTTTTAGAGCCTCATTTGGAGTAAATGCCTCCTCGATTAAACGCCCGGGGTGTTTATTTTTATTCAAATGAAGGCAAGGCATTCTATTAATGCTCTACTTCAGTAAAATTACATTTTCCCTAGGCCAAACTTGTTTAGGATCAATTATCCTATAATACTGTAATTATGTGTTGTAGTATCACATTTACAGTGGTATTAAAGGTCGTTTGTTTGAGTAATACGTATTCATTTTATAACAAAACCTCAAGGCCTCCCTTCAATAATCGCTCCCTCATCAAAAACCATTCAACAATAAATACGGTATGTTATTTTTTTCCAAAGAAAATAACTTTAGATTTCATCCTCACAAGATCATGCCGTAGACATAACATTTCGTAATCCAGATCTTTTATCAGTACACTATCCTCCCCGGGCTCCGGCCCTCAATTTTAAATTCCTGAATCCGCCAATGATACCTAAGTTAGATTAGTATATTTACGTTATGCACTGCTTTTTTCGGGACGCTATTCATTCGATTCCCATTACTGATAATTGACTTTTATTTAATACAATTTGTCCCACACTATTGCCGTTGGTGGGTTATATAAGCTATTGTTTTGTTTTGTTATGTTTATAAATTATTCACTTTGAACATAATAAATATGATTATATAAATATACTTGAGGAAGAGCGCAAACTGCTGGAGGCTAATGTGGTGTCAATTAAATTAAACTAGATTTAATTATTTTCATATGGCATGATCATCCAATAATAATTTTAAAAATGTGTGTTTATCAACACATTAATATATCTGGGAGTGTTTACCTCTGTCTTTGATGCATAGAAAATGATTGATTACTGAAAACATCGCAATTATGCCGAAGGGTCTGATGTTGACATAATAAGTAATTTGTGATTAAAGTGTTCCTTCCATTATTCATCTTAATTTCTTGTAGTGGTTGGCAATGGATGTACATTTATAAAGCGCATAAATGCGCTTTCAGCAGGCTGATGTCCAGAAGAAGGTAAATTAAAGAAACGAATAAGATGGAGAAGAGACAAACAGGAACAACAAAAACCATCAATAAAAAAGAAAAGTAATAAGGTGGATGAGAAAATGTAAGTTTTGAGTTTGACGTTAAATAGGAAAATGGATGGAGATATTCCCGTATATTAATGCGAAGAGAGATCCAGAGTCTAGGAGCGGCGACCTAGAGCGCTCACCATACGACTTCAGCTTGCAAATGTGTGGAAACTGTTGTTTGGTAGTCTGCCTACATAGTTACCTGAGTGGTGGCGCTTTATCAATGGCTTGGCACGTTGCTATGGAATCGCTCACCAAGATTACACTCAGTGACCAGTCTCTACCTTTAAGTTTACGTGGATTACATCAGCGCCCCCTAGAGTCATCTTCTAGCGCAGTCGGGCAAATAGTTATATAACTTGGACAAAGAAAACAACAAAATCTATTTTTTAGTATAATTTATTTCAAAATATATATTGCACACTGATGAAAAGTCAAACAAGTAATAATCGGTATACAAAGTTTAAAATCAGTTTCTGTCTGATTCTAAGGAGAATAATTCAAAAGATTTTCCTCATATATTTCGAAAAGAAGTGTATAATAAATATAGCAAGTTATAAATGTGTCTACTAATTTTGAAAATTATGTATAAAAATATTATTCATTATTAATCTTTTCAATTCCTGTGCTTAGTTTTAAATAGTATTAATTTTATTATTACTATTGTATGGTTATTATCACTTTATTGTAGCTGACATAAAACTATGGCTGAGCAATATAAACCTCTGTACAGACTTACACATTTTATGTGACAAATAAATGTGATGTATCCGTATATGGGCATGAAGAAAAAAACATATTTACTCAAATATATGAGTAATAGATGGTGAGAACAATATGTTTGCAATCTCAGACATTTTAATGGACGAATATCATGGAGCATAAGAGATATTTTAAGAGGGCAAGAACGACATTTTATTTCTTACACATATACTATCTGTGATGAAACTGCAAACAATGTTTAATATCATCGTATTCGAAACGATCAAACAAATGATCAAAAAAATCAGATCAAAATTATAGCTAACTTAAACACTACGATTACCAGACAATTCAAGAGTTTATGAAAAAGAATATAGCAATGATATTGAATATGCGTCCGCACATTCGAAATTCAAATTGAAAACTAACAACTTAACTATTCCGATATACAAAAAGCAATTTAAATATCATATTCTAGTTATTATTATTATTGTCATTATTGAATAAACTCATCTCAGCTAAATTTGAACGTCACATCTCCAAAAAATTCTGGTGAGAGGATTGGTAAACCCGATAAGAGACGGTCAAACAAGATCGTATCGTATGAAGGTGGAGGAGACTGTGGGGTCAAAGGCTCTGGTTGTGATAATTCACCATTTCTATTAGGCCTACAAACAACATCTTCTTCGTTTTCTGTACCCATTGAAACTGCATCTTCGTAGGAGGGTGGGACGGTAAATGTCGATGGGTCTGGTGATTCAACTCTTTGACTCAAGTGGATATTAACAGTTGTGTGGCCATTATTCGACAGACCTGCAACAGTATCGTAACTGATTTGATTGTCACCTGAAAAGAAAATATTGAACTTCTCAAAATAATTTGAACAAATTAAGCGTAATATGCATTTAGAGAAAAGTCTCACGTGTCGTATCCTGTGACGTCATTATTTTATTGGTCGTTGATACTCACTTTCAGTGTCATCATCTGGACATTCTTTACTCTTATGTGAGCAGCAACAGCTTATGATCAAAATTATAAGCCCGATGAGAGGGAAAATGTAGACGACAAAGTCCGTCATTTAATGTCAGTAAACCTGTTTAAATAAACAAAAACACAAAGAAGTAATTGTGATTGCATAATATGTTTGTTTTTGTATTTTTTAATGAAATTCATTTTAAACTGTCGCTTCGTAATGGCTACCCCACATTATGTAAAACCGTCTTGTGCAAGGAGGACACCTTGTTTCGCCTTGACAGCGAGAGGTCGCAGGTTCGGGTCCCGCCAGAGGCATTTTATTACACCATTTCTTTATTCATTTATTTACAGAACT